ATCCTTATCCATGAAAAAAACATCAGAATATTTGTTGGTCATAGTTACAACTATTTCATCAAGCTCCTTGAGTTGTTGGATGGCCTTTAATAGTGTTTGTGGACCAAGATTCAAAACCTTTTCGGTGGATGTAATTTAGTGCCACAGATTGAATAGTATGGAGGCTGTTAGGTCACAAGGATCCTCCAAATGGTGGAACTCAATTTTCCATGACGCTTTCTTGCAATATCTGGTCACTTTGTTCCATGATAATTTCGTTTCAAGTCAGTTCATTTCAAGTTTGTCACATCATTCTGTAAGATCGTCAAATCTCCCCACCATGGAGTCACTCAAATTTTTCCTCGTGTAGAAATCCAAGGTCTCTTGGTGGTGGTGGTTAAAAATTTTCTATTCTTTGAGCTTCCCCCTGGATGTTGTCATTGGAATATTGAATCTTGAATTTTTCTTCAAGGAAGGTGTGGTGGCGCCATGGATGCCTTCGAAATATGTTGCTGAGAAATTCCAGCACCTTTGACTTAACATCAGCGACATTTCGAGAGTTGGACATACATTTTGGTTACTTTTGTAATCTTTGTGATGGTTGACTTCTCTGTGCTTCTATTCCTGCAAAGAAGCAGGGATTTTTCATGTCAAATTCCTTCGTGGTCCAGTGTCATGTTGGGTTGTCTGTCACAATCACACATGGTTGAATGATCATACCACAAACTGTTGGCCATAATTCTCTTAGGGCTGAGTCTTGATAAACTTGCAGCAGATATCTTCGAACCAATATAGACTTCAATCAAGAGATGATTTTAAAAGCAAAGTTACTCTCCACATTCACCTGACTTAAAGAGGTAGTGGAATGCATCTAATCAAATCATGTGGTGGTGACGATTATGATGATGATGATTCAACTAAAAGGCAAAGTTAAATTAATTGCAATAATTTTAAGAAAAATTGACAAACAGGATCAAAAGATAAGACTAACAACTTACAGACATTTCCTCCTATTGATGTGAATGGGTAGATTGAAATCACTGATGACCTAGACTGAAACTCAATGTACTTAAAGAGAATGCTTGAACAATGTGCACTGAAAACCGAGAACTAAGAAATCTTGTGAAATGAATCATATAATGGTTCATGAGTTAAATTTTAAATCAAGTGTAATGCATGTAGGGGAAAAGTCGTGCACATTTGAATCTCACACTTTACTTGTGCTACATATACAGATACTCTGGAATTAAAAACCTGTAATTAACAATTATTTGCACTAACTATGTGCTTACCAGCATGCTTGTGAACTCAAATTGCCAGGAACCTCATTTCAAGACACGATTGGAACTCAGACGCTTCTTTCAAAATGCGATGATTGTCAATTTTAGTGATTGGTTTTTCAGTTTCAAGCATTAGAATAAAATTATCCTATCACAAGCATGTTCATCATAACCCAAGCATTATCAGTATGTACTGAAGATGTTGAGTTGAGAGAAAGTGGCTCTGTGTTTTGTGAGATGAACCATTTCCTGAAGTTCAAACAAATCAAGTGGAAAGCATGAAAACATGGTACTGAAAAGTACCATGACCAAACAATGAAATTTACTCCTCCAGCAGTAGGACTAACTCCATTTCACTCGTGAGTTAGTTTGCACCACACATTTGTGGTCCATAATTTAATTCTCAGTTGTTTGACTGGTTCTTACTTAACAACATCATTAAAATCAAATTACTGTGTCAGACCTAAAGTAAACCTGAACATTGCTGACTCAATCTCATTTTATTTCAATTTTGGTAAAACAATACACCTTCAATAAAGCTCAATTTTTTTGCATGGACAAAGTAAACCCTAAAAGAGAGAATGGTAGAAACCTGCTCATGCTGTTCACCCTCATTTGAAAACTTTCTGGCAAAACATAATCCCTGAGATAGCTTCTTTTTTGGCATTGTTTTCAGTTTGAAAATGACAGGTAGTTTTTAGTCTGGAACCTATCTCCTACAAATGTTAATACCAACATCAAGTGATTCTTTTCATTCCCTGTTGTCTGTATCTTCAGACTCTGAATTTTCCCAAGTATTGTTGACTATTTCATTTGTCAGCTTGTCACAAGATATAGAGAGTACTGGTGTGTTCTTCTTTGCTTTTTTATGAACTCCTGAAACTGTATGATTTTCTCCTTGTATTCCTGGGGTAGATGTTAAGCATTAATGTTGTTTGCCACGAATAGTAGATTTATTCGTCATACAATTGTATTGCTAACTTTTGTTGGCATTTACAATTTTGCTTGAAAGCCTTGGTAGGGAAAAAGCTTGTATTACTAAGCACTCTGCTCTACAAATTGGGAGTGTTTACTGGAAAACCTTTTTCAGGATCTGGGACCCTACCTCTTACCTGTTCCTAAATGTCTCTCCATAGCAAGCTACTGTTCATGGTCATGACATGCATTTCACCAGCTGCATAACAATGCTTTCTTTTTTTACTCACTCCTGGGTTTTTGACCCCACCACATTAACTAAACACAAATTTTCCCTAAACTTTGTTTATTTTACTCTGAAACCATTCATGAGAAAGAATTCCAGACTTCAGAGTGTCATTTAACCCTTTAACTCCACAAGTGAACAAGACAGAATTTCTCCTCACAATTCCTAAATCGATTAGTCTTGCATTTAGGTGCGATGAAATGCTTGTTGCACCTTAGAGCATAACATGGTGGTCCACTAAGTGGGATAAAACTGTCCAGATGGTGTTCAAGGACCCTAATAAGGGTGTCAGAGGTATTACTACAAATCCCTGCGATGAAATCTGCAATAGGGACAATGTTCACCAGACTGATAGCCTCCTGGTAGGGCAGTCCTGGGAATATTATAGACATTGCCTGCTTTTCAACTCACAACAACTCGTCTTTTGGGTACTTTGGCAGGGCATAAAAAAAGACAGGTGCCACTTACGTAGCAACAGAGTATATACAAGCAGTATAAAAAGTGGACATGTCCTGCTGAGGAACTCTTGATCTTTTTAACTGCACTAAAAAATACAGGCACTTTGACACTTTCTTGATTACGTCGCTATATGCTTGTTTCATGTGAGATTGCTTGATATGTCCAGATACCCTCTTTAGTTCATAACCATCTGCTGCAATAGGCGCAAAGTGGGGCTCGCCCTTTACAAAAGATATCTCGAGTTCCTTACATTTGTCATTATTGAGTTGGACTCTATTCTGCATAGACCACTCTGCAACCTTATGCGCGATCACGTGGACACAACCTTAGTTGCCCTTGGAAACAACTTCAGATGCAATTGTATCGTCAACATACTTCCATACATTAGCTAAATTATCAACATCTAAATCATTTATACGTAAAATAAATAGCCATGGGCCTAATTTTGTTCCCTGAGGAATCCTGGAGGGCACTGACCCCCACTTGGATAGTTAGAAAGGAAATCTATGATGCAATTGATAATTCTTGTGGACAGATTCAACCTGTACAATTTCTCTACGAGTATTCTATAATCCATAAACACTTTTTTTAAATAAAAGAGAATAGTTCTAACTGTAGCACTGTTGCCATCAGTTTCCTTGGACCAGTTGTGGAGCATGTGTATCAGAGCCTGGGTGGTTGACGAATTGGGAACAGCTCCATATTGGTTTGGGTCTAGTACATCCAGAACCATAGGCTTTATTTAATCAAGTACCATACACTCCTCTGCAACTTTCTAGAGACATGGAGTCAGGGAGATAGGTGTGAGATGCTTCTTCAGGCCTTCAACCCGATTCACTTTCAGTATAGGAGACATGTTCGTTAACTTCCAGATTTTCGGAAGAGACTGCTCTTTGAAAGAGGGGTTGATGATTCTGCTGATTGGGAGGGACAAAAGTTCAGCATACTCCTTGAGTATTCAGTTTGGTATCTCATCTGGACCACACACCTTAGATAGGTTTACTCAGCTAGTAACTTAAAAATATGCATTTCCAAAAACTCTGGAGGCTCAGGCGTTTCCTCTTCGATGTGAAGTTTGGTCAGTGGTTGGTGCAGGTAATATTCTTCAAGAGGCTCAAGAAGGGCCTAATAGATTGCATTTCCAATATCCTGGTCCTTAAGATTTTCAATTCCTTCAGTATGGATGTGACTAGAAATGTTCCCGAGTTTGAGTTGAAACCGTACAAGCTCCTGATCTTCCACCAAATCTTGGGATTCTCCTCCTTCATATGCTTGGCATTAGACTTGTAAAATGAGGCCTTGAACGATTTCCTTTCATGATTAATAGCATTCCTGTTGAATTTGTGCGGCATTGACTCCATGCTGCCGTCCTGAAAGTCTTTCTGTCATTTGAGAATGAGTAATTTAAGGTGTTCATCTATTGAATTGATTGCGCTCTTATTGTGGCAGTCTCCTACCACAATAAGAGTGCAATCAGGGAAGCATGACTCAACAAGTTGCACTGATTGGAACAAGTGTTCTTGCATAAACTCGTTCTCAGTGGTGGACCCACGTGGATGATAGATCTATCAGGGAAGAAATCCCCTGCAGGAGGCATTTAGGGTGCAGCTGAACCCACAATACCTCGTGATCAGGGAAGGATGAAAGATCATTCAGTCACTTGTAACAAATTGCTGCACTGATGTAGAGACAAACCACCACCATGATAATCAGACAAACAGTCCTTACATAGGACTGAGTAGCCTGGAATATCAATGACTGAAACAGCGATTGATTACTTGAGCCATTTTGAGTGATAAAGGGAGACCTATGTTGTTGCACAACACAAATTCGCACACTTCACTCATCTTTTATTTTATTTATTTATTTAACAGCTTTATTGGGTACGTCTATAAGCTCAAAATGAATACATATACAAGGAAAGAGACAAAAAATGGATAGACATACACCAAAAGGGTCAGTGCGAACGGGACATGGAGTCCCATGTGGGGCACTACCCTTAATAAAAACGAAAAAAAAAAAAAATTGAAAAAATGAAAAATGTAAAAACTTACAGTGAAAAAGTGCTAGATAACTAAAAATCAATGACAGGGACACGACCTAACAATTGACCACGTGCACGGACTATTAACATCAAAAACTGAACGGACAAGAGAGAACATGTGTTTTGCTACAAAAGTTTGAAAGGCGGTCGGGTTAGAAAACTTGGACGGGGGTGATAAGGTACAGACGTAGTTCCAGAGTTTAACAGTTCGGTTGAAATAGGAGGCCTGAAAGGTACTTGTTTTACATGAAGGTGTTGTGAGATTGAAGGAATTACTTCGTCTGGTGCGGCCGTGGGAAATAAAAGAAACAAAGTTAAGGATGTTTAGATCCGTGTAGTTATTCAGACATTTGTAAAGAAAGACAAGGTCCTTAAGTTCGCGGTCGTAGGCGAGAGGGAGCAAATTCAGCTTGATAAGCCGGTCTCGGTAGCTCATTTCCCCAATTCTGGTGCCTAGAATCCATCTTGTTGCACGTCTTTGTACTCTTTCAAGCTGACTTTTGAGATTGAATTGGGCTGGGGACCACACTTGCGTTGCATAGCACAGTTGTGACTTTACCAAAGCCAGATAGAGGGACAGCCTGACTGAAACATTGGTCAGAAAAGGGCATGTACGCTTTAGAAGCCCAAGTAGCTTGTTGGCTTTTGCGATGATGGTATGGACATGTGAATCCCATGAAAGGGAGCTAGTCACAATAACTCCGACATCCTTCTCACTTGTGACCCGCTCAAGTTGTACATGATTGAGTTTGTAGCCGTAGATAATTGGGCTTTTTTTGCGAGTTACTGAGAGGACTTTGCATTTTGATGAGTTAAAGCGAATGTTATTTCGCATGGCCCATGCCTTCATGTTGGTTTAAGTGTTCTGCAGAGATATGCAGTCCTCAACACCTTTGATGCTGCGATATGCCTTGGTGTCGTCGGCATATAATGCGGCCATCGCACCTCCTGCAGTTGCATCAGGCAGGTCGTTTATAAAGATCGTGAAGAGCAGGGGTCCCAACAGACTCCCCTGAGGGACACCGGAAGTGACTGGTGCCCATTGCGAGACAGCACCATCAACAACTACACGTTGGACGCGCTCGTTTAGATAGTCTGAAAACCAGGCTAATAGCTGCCCCGAAACGCCGTAGGCCCTTAACTTAGACAGGAGAATACAATGGTCCACCGTGTCAAACGCTTTAGCGAGATCCAAATAGATCACGTCCGTCTGTACATTTTTATCCAGGTACTGTCCTATGGTGTGTAGAACAGACAGTAATTGTGTGACACACGATCGATTTCGTAGAAACCCGTGCTGTAAGAGGGTGATCAGATGTATGACGTGCTCATAAAGGTGATTAAACACGCAGCGTTCCTGTATTTTGCTTACAATGGTAATGACCGAAATAGGTCTATAGTTGTCGGCGGGTTCTTTTGAGTCTTTCTTGTGAATTGGTGTTACGTCCGCCGATTTCCACTCACTTGGAATTTTGCCGCTTTTAAGTGAATTGTTAAAAATAGCGCAGAGACTTGGTGCTATTTGTTCGCTACATTGTTTGAGCAGTCTCGCTGGGATGCCATCAGGACCACTGGCTTTTTGAGATGTCTAGCCCATTCAAGTGCTCTCTCACCTCTTCTATTGATATTTCTATTTGCGAGATTTCCATATCAGTTCTCAGTGGTATGTTAATTTGAGGTCTGTTTACATCGGAGGCTGCTGGAAGGAAAACAGAACAGAAATATTTATTGAAGAGGTCTGCTTTTTGTGCTGGTTCCTTTGCAGACACACCGTTGTATGATATCACCGCGCTTGTGCCAGATCGACCACCTAAAATCGCTTTGTGGTAGCTCCAAAATTTCTTTGGGTTGTCCTGCTCAATTTGCGCTAAGTACCGCCGATGTTTAGCGCGAATTACGTACTTAATATTTTGACTCAATATTCGCAATTTTTGTTTGCGTTCAGGGGTCTTGTTCTGACGAAATTTTTTCAAAGCTGCATACTTCTTTCGAATCAGATGCCGGACTTCCCCGTCTATCCAAGGGGGAGAGTTAGTGTCGTGAATTGTTTTTACTGGTATATGATCTATTACGGCAGTCAGAAACAGATCTTTCCAGTTTGACCAGTGTTCATTTATATCATCCGAAAAGGCTAACTCAAAGGGAACTCGAGTAAGTGATTCCCGTAGATCATCAAAATTTCCATTCTTAAAGTCGAAGACTTGTCTCTTCACCCGTTTTCCTCTTTGAAACTTTAGTCGGATATCAAACTCAATAACATAGTGGTCTGTGGGAAATATACCTTCTCGTGGATGAAAGGTTAGAACGTTCTCGATAGTCTCAGGCCAATTACACAGCACAAAGTCAAGCTTGTTACCGGCAATATGCGTGGGGCCAGGGACAGTCTGATAAAGAAAATTGTCACCAACAAGATCACAAAATATTTTGTGGTCTGCGCGACTACTGTTGTTTACTGGAGTTGTTGTTGTTTCATTGTTAGCCCAATTGAGTTCTGGCAGATTGAAATCGCCAAGCAGCAATATACAAGCTGACTCTGTGTTTTTCCGTAGAGATGAGTTAAGTTCCAGAAGAGGTTCGGGCGATGAATCAGGGTGATAAAAACAATAAAGGGTAACAGTTTTTACATTTCCAGTCTTCAGATCCACAACAACCAATTCTGCGCCACCCTTCTCTAAGTCAGGTCGTCTTTTCACTTCAATGCCTCCTTTAACCGCAATCATTACTCCACCAGCACGATCTTCCCTGTCCCGTCGAAAGATGGAATATCCTGGTATGATTTCACTGTCAGTTACAGAGTTATTAAGCCATGTTTCAGTGACCCCGACAACGTCGAAGTCCCCGCTAAAGACAATCTGTTGTAAGATGGTGATTTTGCATATTTTGCTTTGGTCAGAACCTTCGGCAGTCACGATTGCTTTTAAACTTCGTGCATTCAGATATAGTGCTCGCAGATTGTTTCTCTGATTCGGATGGGGACCAGGGTTCGATGCAATATCCATACAGATAGTTATATTGATGCCTTGATGGAAGCCAGGAGGTGAACGACAAGTTTGACCATGTTTGGTCCAGCATACTTGATGTCGACGAAGTTGGTTTGAGATTCGGCGGCTCGCAGCATTTCTTCTGAGATAGTGGGCTTGAAAATTGTTGGTCGATTTCAATGAGCACTCCGAAGAGCCGTCTCCAAGCTGGCTTGGAAGCGTGTGTGCCAGTAGATTAACTACAAAAGCTAGTGATATAACCCAGAGGCCGAAAATAGCGGCCATCTTGAATTCAGTTTCTGCTTTGGTACAATTGACCTGACATTTGTAACCATAAATTTAGGGACATAATATGAATTACTGTGAGCAAGTCCTTGCTGAGACCCCAGATCCCACGTGCCGTCTCTTGAGATACTGTGGGATGTTGCGATTGACTGGAATACTAGCAGAGGTGATAAATTTAATATTTAATGACTTCTTTGAAGTATTATGCAAAAGAGCTTCACCTTCAAGATCTCCAGTAGACTTAGTGGATATGTTGAAGACTGAAAAATTGGAATTGAGACGCAAAAGGGGTGAAATCAGGCTGCAGGACTTGACTAAGCCTGTGACTGACTCTAATTCTTTTGTGTTGACCTTTACATGTTGGTTTTACTTTTGAAATGCTGTGATCAGTCAGGCATTACCACAAGTCCAAAGCAAATCATGTTGAAATACTGGATGAAATAGCTTTCACAAATGATCTAGAGTAGGCCAGAGCCATAAGGATGTTTTTAACTGCCTATTCCCAAATACGGTGATTCAACAACCAAACTTGAGACAGTAAATTTGATGTTTTATCAGAGGGATAGCTAGTGCTGCCAGCTAGGTACTAAAGGAATCACCCAATGGCGTTCCAATAACTAAACTTGTAATCTAAATCATAATCATTGTATGGCAAGCAGTCAGGAGATTTCTAAATACAATCTTGGGAGCAAGAGGGTTAAAGAAAATGTTTGTATAAAAAGGTGTGTGTGATGGAAAAGGGGCAGTAACATCCTACCTGTAAATGTGCTGGGTGTCCTATACCTTTTAAAGCCTGATATCAGAAAGAACATTCTTCACATTATCCTTGGCATATTCCCACAGACAGTGCCGTAATTCTTGGTTTTCATTCATGTGACTAACTGCTTGATGACAGTTACTATCCACCATGTTGGTGTCGCATGTATGTAAACAAAGCATATCAAACCGCATCATTTCATGCTCGTAGAGAAAATTATGTCATGGTTCACTGTATTATTGGAGATTGTTCAAGTAACAGCAGAAAATACATGGCTATAGGGTTTTTCAGGATACCTTGTGTTGTTGATAAACAAGGAGAAGAAGCTGAAGAACTGAGCAGAGAGAGATGAGAAAGGTGTATTTTGGTAATAAGTCGCAACAATATACAATGAAAGGATGTACTGAAGAACAAAAGAGTCTGCAGAAGGCATTTTGAGTCAAGAAGATAGCAGAAGAACGGGATAGATTTAATAATGACTGGGTGCCCACCTTGAATCTTGGTAAAACTAAATATTGCAAAGTAGATCATGAAGCCATTGAAGTGAGAGCTGCTTGATTTAAGAAGAGACAAAAGAGACCTCTTGAATGCCTCGAGTATGCTGCTGTTAAATGCCAACAGTTAGATGCTAGGGGATTGGCCCTCGAAAATATTGACTTAGGAGAGGGTTCATCTACTGAAGAAACTGTAGAAGAGGAAAATCAATCATCAAATCTGTGTTCAAGCTGTGATCATGATGATTCTGTTTCCTGCTCTGTAAGTCAAACCGACCCATGCTGCATGCATAGCGTCTTCATCTAGACTGAGAACAAAGATTGCCAGATTACATCTTCCATGTCTCGAAGTGAAGAATTAGAGTACATGTTTTCTGGGAATGGATATCAACCTCCAACTGAAGATTGTTTCAACACAGAGAAAAAAGTTTGTTTTCATACTGGATTGCCTTCCACGGAAATTCTGTTGACTCTCTTCGACCACATTTCTTCAGGTATCACTCAGCGCAGTCAAACTCTCAGCAAATTTCAGGAATTTATAATGGTTCTGATCAAGCTTCGACTTAATATTCCATCTCCAAGTATCTCTATCAACAGTATCCAGGATATTTTCTTGATGGTTGACTGTAATAGATTCTTGTTTGTTGTCACTCATTTGCTGGCCAGACAGAAATCAGCTATGGAAACCAATGCCAATGTGTTTCCAGTAAGCATTTGGCAAAAAAGTGACTGTGATCATAGTCTGCTTTGAAGTTTTTATTGATCGACCAACAAACCCTCTAGCACAAGCACAAACTTTTTCCTTCCCATAAACACCACAATACAATTAAAGTATTGATTGGGATTACACCACAAGGAACAATTTCCTATATATCTCAAGCATAGGAAGGTAGAACCTCAGACAAATATTTGAATGAAAATTGTGGCTTGCTGGTCAAACTAATGCCTGGCGACATAGTAGGTGGGTTCACGATAGCAGAAAGTGTTGGCCTGAAGCAAGCTAAGCTGGTTATACCAGCATTCACTGGCAAGATGTAGCTGGACTCTGTCAAGATTGAAAAGAGAAGAGGCATCACCAGCGTCAGAATCCATGTGGAGAGAGTGATTGGTCTGCAACAGTGTAAGTACGCTATCTTAGAGTACACTTCCTATTAACCTCGTCATATGCAATGAGAGTGGACCTCCAGAATCCAAAGTGCTGGCAATTGACAGAATCATAAGGATGTGCTCAGCACTTGTTGAGCCCTCCCATTATACCATTTGATTAGCCCATATTAAGTCCTAGCTTGTTGATAAAGGAGGCAAAATAGCAAACAGAAATTCAGAAAAAATTGGCTTTAATATGTTAGCTTTCAAATATTTCACGTGACAGTGATTACTGAGTAATGGAATAAAATACACATAATTTGGTTGCCATTTCTGTAGTTCTCTTTGCTATCCTGTCTCCTCACATAATGAGTTATATCAAACTCTATAGTCCTATAGTCTATTTTTTGCCCAGAGGTCAATCCCATTTCTATAGTGTTTAAATTTAAGTAAGATTTCAATTAATTTCATAATGATAAATAATTAAGTCTGTTTACAAGAAAAAATATACATTTTGTAGCGAACCCACCTGTATATATTACTAACTAAAATGTGTTTTAATGACACTGCCAAGGCGACATGCTTTGCCAAGTCCCATGAGTAGTATTTCAGTACTGATGATGTAGTTTTTCCTGGTCGTTCTATTGTATTTTTTAATTTCATTTATTATATGTTAAGGACCAGTAACTAAGTAATGGTGAAAGTGTCATCTATATAGTACTTCCATACTCTCCATGGTTCTGGGGCAGTAGCTAAGGTTTGTTCTTGGAAAGCTTCCATATGCAGATTGGCAATTACGGTGGAAATTGCGCTGGCCATTGGTACTCCTTGTTGCTTGTAGAGTGCTCTGTTGTACTTAAAGTATGTGGACCTCAGGACAAAATTTAGAAGGTCTACAATCTGGGTAGGTGTGAGTGCTGTGCAGTCTGGTAGGCTCAGATCGTTGTTGAGTCTATGTAACACGGCCTGTACTGTTTCTTCTATAGGAACATTGGTGAATAGTGACTCAACGTCAAAGAATATAATTACTTTGTCTGTTTGGATGGTCTCTTTACTGATTATGTTTGCAAATTCTTCTGAGTTCTTCACTGAGTAGTTAGAGTTACCTGTGAGAGGAGACAAAATTCTAGCTAGGTGACCCAATAGATCATAAGCAAGGGTGTTGACACAGGACACTACAGGTCTGAGGGGTGCGTTGGCTTCATGTATTTTTGGTGCAATTTAGATTCTGGGAGGTTGCTTCTGCTTTGGCCTGATCTTGTTGTATTCAGTCTCCAATATGTTCCTGCTTTGTTTGAGTTGTCGTAGCTTTTCCATGGCTTTTGGGCTCAAGCAGTCTGTTGGCTCTTTGTGCAGGAGTTTGTACTGTCCGGTCTTGATCAGTGTTGACATCTTGGAGTGGTAGGTTACTGTGTCAAGGACTACACTTGCACAGCCTTTGTCTGCTGGTAGGATCATGGTGGAATGGTCCTGTTTGAGACTTTTGGAATACGTTGTTCACGGTTCTTCGAAATGTGTCGGCTTGTTCCATGTTGAGTGGTCTGATGGCTGTTTCTTCCTTCACGATTATTTCTGTGGCCAGGATGTTGGTCGGCATAATGGTGAAGTTTAGTCCTTTCTTGAGCAGGGTGGTTTCTGCATTGCTAAGTGTTCTGGAAGACAGGTTAACGACCCAGTTTGTTTGGTCAACGTTGGGTGTTGAGGTTGACTTGCAGAAAGAGGAGCTTCTCAAATTTTTGTTTCGCCGCTGTTTGGTGTTGTTGAAGACTCGCTGGGTGTTGGTACTGATCTTTTCTATTAGACTCTTCACATCTTCAGAGAGAGTGATCTGATATTTCTTTCTTTGGATTCGGCTTCCTTCACATCTTTTATGGCTCTCCTTGTCAGTCGTATTCATTCCCTCAGAAATCACAAGGACGTTAGTTCTATGGCTTTTCAGGTGCCTTTGGTGGGTACTGGTGAGGGAACTCGTAGGTCTCTTGGGATGATTCGATTCTTAATGCACCCGGTAAGGAATGTAAGGTGGTTTCTATAACGTGGGAGTTTTTGCTGGCAACGTTCATGTCGATGAATCAACCTTGGCTACCAATGGCTTTCTCGGTCAAGAAGCTTGGTTTCATTCCACAGCGGCTTGTGTTTGGTGCCATTAGCATGTTCTGAAACTGTGGGATTCTGAGTGTGTGCGATTCACATATCCCTGTCATGTTCTTTCATTTTTTCTTGCATGGGTTGTCCCTATAGAAGAAACAGTACAGGCCATGTTACATAGACTCAACAACAATCCAAGCCTACCAGACCACACAGCACTCACACCAACCCAGATTGCAGACCTTCTAAATTTCGTCCTGAGATCCACATACTTTAAGTACAACAGAGCACTACAAGCAACAAGAAGGAGCACCAATGGGCAGCCCAATTTCATCGTCAGCTGCTTCCCTTTTCCCGCACAAAGTCATGTGCTGTTTTAAATTTGTCCAGTTGTGGTGGCTGGCATTGTTGTATTTCAAGATGAAATTCATCATCCCCAGGATTCAGAAGACTGTTGATTAAATTGTTTCCTATTGTTGCAAAGAGTGTGTTTATTCTGCATGCTTTTTCTTTGTCATCAAGTATTTTTTTCAAGTAGTTCTCTTTTCAAAGGTTCAATGTCTTTACACTTGGTAGGCTTTGTTGCTTTATTAAGTAAATTCCAGTATTTGCCTGTTTTCTCAACTTCTATAAACAGGTTTGAAAAAAAGGACACTTAAGCATTCTTCAAAGCAGAAGTAACTTCATTCCTAGCCTTTTTGTATTCCTGTCTTGATGTAGAGCTCTTTGTCATGATTGCTGTTTTATATATTTTTAATCTTCCATTCATCTCGTAACGAATGTCATTTGTTATCCATGTCACAGATTTATTGCTAACTATGACCTGTTTCCAAGGAGCATGCTCATCGCATATGTTGAAGTATAGTTTCTGCCATACTCAAAGCCTGGTGTCTGCATTGTCAAAGATTGATCCAATATGAAATGGTGCAGATTCGATATCAGACTGAAATTTATCCTGATCAAGTCTCTTGTAATCTCTCATTCTAATGCATTTTAGAGGTGGTCTTTTGTTCTTTAATTTCATTGTAACATAAAGTAGATTATGATGTGATATCTCCAATGGATATACTCCTGACTCGCTGATTAGGTCTCTTCTTCAGGGCTCGAACTTAACTTTTGAAGTTAATAGTCGAATGGCTAGTACATGGTCAGGATTCACTAGCCAAAAATGTATTTCTACTAGGCAAGTGTACAGCACAAAACTATCATTTTTATAGATTAAACAAACACAAGAAAATGTAAAACTGCTGTTGCTATCAAACTGTAATCAATTTATTATACAACTGTACATAAAATTCATTGTACGTGTTCATGCTTGTTCGTTATTCCAATTACCTCGACAACAATAAAACCCAACTGTACATGTACTGCTGCAGACATTACTTCTTTGTGTGACTTAAGCTTCTAGCTGCAAACAGCAGATGCTCATTTAAAATGCCTAGTACCCTAGTAGTGTTCAGTATTATAAAACAGTTAATTAAGTGTTCCCAAATGGTAGGAATGATCATTGAAGGCAATGATCAGTCCATCAATGTAGGCCGTCTGCTCCGTTCTGACTCCTCCAGCCAGCGCCCAACTGCAAGAACTGCAGTATAGTCCTCATGAGAAGGTCCACTGATAGCTATTCTCATCAACTCATCAATAGTAGAAACATTCAAGGTTGACCTCCAGTCAGTCATGATTCTGTTCATGCAAGAGTTCCCCCGCTCGCAGCAAGCAGTCTGGCAAGGAATTACAAGACATAGTTCCACTAAAATTAGCAGGTTTGGATAATCATCTTTGCAAAACATAAATTTGTTCTTCCAGAATTCGCTTTGCCTGAGTTCAAGTTCTGCTCTAACTCGCTGTACATGGAATTTCAGACTCATCCATTCATCAAGACAGTCATGCAGACTGAAGTTGTGCTGCTCTAGAGGTACCTGAAAATGACCATGTAGTGTCTGGATTTCATTTTCGCCATGTAAGAGCAGCCGATACCTGTCTGAAACTGGCCAACCTCGGTGGTTTGTCAAGACAGCTGCTGCTGACAATACTGGATCTGTTTCCATCCCTTCAAACCTCCCTTGGATGAATGTCATGGCAGCATTCACCGCAGATGCCTGGATAGCATTAATAGCCTGCCTGTCTGCATCCCTTTGAAGCTCTATGCCCTTAAATGTGTTGCCATCCCCTACTTCCGTAAGGAAAGAGTTTAGTTGCTGACCAGGTTTTTCCTTGAAAGATTCAAGTTTTGCTAAAAGGGCAGTTAAGTTATCTTGAACTCTTGAGATTGTTTTTCCATCCTCCTGGAAGCTAAGACTCACTTTGGAAAGTGCATCTACGATGTCAAGTAACAGATGCATGATGGTAACAAACTTGTAGCTTGTCAATTTTTTGCTGTAATTCACAGCTCTTCCTTGCATCTGGTTACTGGCATCCCTTGCTTGTGAGGTATGTTGGAAACTTGAAAGTTCTTTGACAAGAGAATATTCAGTGCTCTTTGCATATGTGGTACCCACCTTGTACCGTCTGCTTTGATTGCCTTATATGCTCGCACTTCCATACTCTCAGCTAGTTCTTTAAGCTCACGGACTGCCTTTGCAGAATAATGATAGTGCTTCCAAATACCTTGAAGCATTTCTTTGACATCTTTAAGAACTGGAACATCTGACAAGGTGTCTGCAAATGAAAGTTCCAACCTATGTGCAACGCAGTGTACCTTAATAATGTGAGGAATTTCTTGTTTAAGCAAGCCATAAACACCACTTATTTCTCCAAGCATAACATTTGCTCCATCTGCTCCCAGGGCCACTGTCTTCTCTTTCCAATCCCTACACACCTCTGTCATAGCAGTTTCCACAGCTGCTTTGATTCCAGGTGCTTTGCTGTTTTCACAAGCCTTCAGCCCTACAAATGAATTTTCTATCTCACCTTTAACCAAATGACATGCATAAACATCTTCTACCTCACGTACTCCGACATCACATGCACTGTCTGCCATTACACTTATGAACTTTGATGACTGAAGCTTGCTTGAAATTTCATGCTTTAATTGTCCTGCAATAGCCGTTACAAACGTTTTGCATGCTTTGTCATTAATGTAGGTGTTTCCAAGCTCAACTCCGTGTTTCATTTCAAGTTTGCACAGGTGGGGAAAGCTTGTAAATGGCATATCCCTCTTTGCAACAAAATAAGCTATATCAAACAATCTTTCCATCTTCTGAGAGACCCCTTTTGACATTGACAACAGAGCGCGTGGTAAAGGAGCTAGCTGTGGATTCTCAGAAACTTTAGCAGCCGCAACACAACGTGTATGACCAGTTGAAGTTTCGTGGCTTCTCACAGATTCTATTTTAAAGTTCTGACTGCCAGACACGAAGGTAGAGGATGAGTCACTGCAAGTTGGATTGTCTCTACAAAATTTGCAAAACATTCGGTTTCCTTCTGAGTCGTACGTTAGCCATGTGAAGTCTTTCAACCACGACCGTACGAACTTTCGTTTCGATGAAGATTGAGATGTCGAAGAATCATCAATTGCTCTCTTTGAAGTGGAAGTTGTAGATGTTTGAGATGATTCAGAGGATTTTGATGACGACAGAAATGCCCTGATATCCATACTTAACGAGAGCAATCACGCGTGGCATTTCAAGAGCAATCACGCGTGGCATTTCAAAATGGCGGACAAGCGTTTTTTGATAGCATTGCATCATGGGTATGTGACTTGATCCCATGTTTCCTCGATCAAGCAAGTCAATATGGCGGCGAACGAAAACGGACTTGTAACGAAACAAAGAATTATTTTTCGAATATAGAGTTATTTTTCTTTTTTTATTTCATGCTAGTTGTTAAAATGAAAGAATTTTGAAAATGTTTGAAGACTTAAGTTATTTATAGAGGCGAAAATTAACTAGCCAAGATGGCTAGCAGATGAGAAAATCCACTAGCCAAAACTCAAAATCTACTGGTATTTGGCTAGTAGACCACCGCCAAGTTCGAGCCCTGCTTCTTGTTGTTACAAAAAGGTCTAACAAAGTACATGATGTGGGTGTTATCCTTGTATTATATGACACTATGTTTCACATGTTAAATGACTCAAAAATAGAACAGAGCTTGGCTGTATTTCTATTTAGGTCAGAATCACCTTCTTGAAGCTTAAAATCACAATTAAAGTCAAGTGCACTACTTTTAAATCTTTATTTGAACCAGCCTCCAATTGCCTCACCAGTTCTGCTGAGTCATCATCTTGGCTTTCATTTGAACCATTTAAGTGAGACACATCAATGTTGACCACTTCAGTGGAAGCTTCGTCAACAGGGTCATCAATAGAAGCTAAAAGGAAGGGCTGATGAGTGCTCTAATTTAATAATGTCATAGTTTAAAAACTGTCTTTCCATATATGTGGGGCATGACCGTGATTTTTGTTTGCTTCTCTGCATTTGCCTGAATTCCGTAGGTGCAACTTTACCGCAATTGATATGAAACATACCCCCACATAAATTGCAATCCAAATGTGCAATGATTATGAACAACAGTCCTAGAGCAAGAAGGGCACCCATGTTTAGTTGTAGGGCCAGGGTTTGGATTAACGTCGCAGCTTATCAAGAGGTGCGATAGCTGAAAGGTAGAAGAACTGTTTGGATATCTGCTCAGCCTGTGTCCAAAGAAAATGGGCAGCGCAACAAGCGTTTTGATCCAAAATGGCGGTGGCCATGTTCACTCGTTGTTGGCAATTTGAGATATGTCATCTTGTTGAAGGAAGCACACCATTATTTCACCGAGCTCTTGTCCATAATTGTTTAAACACTAAATGCAAGTAGACATGCTTTCATATTTGTAAGCAATGCTGAGAAGAAGCAGAAAAATAAGG